GCTGTTTTTTTTTTTTTTTTTTTAGCGTGGCAGGGCATTCGGAAGGCGCCGTCCATCGTCCGTCTGACCGTCCCCCTGAGGATCCGTCGCTGACTGTGGCTCCTCTGCTCCCCTCAGTACGTGCTGCCGCACGCGCCGCCGCCGCAGCCGGTGCAGCCGGCCGGCGACCGTTTCGTGGAGTCCGCCGTGAACAACACACTGCCGGCCGCTGGAGCCGTGCCGGCCAGCACCGGTTCCGCGTTCGGTGCGCCTCCGCCGCCGGCGCAGCAGGCCGCCAGCCGCCCTACGTGTGTTCGACAGGGAGACCAACAATCTGTACGTCGACATGATCATCGCGGTGACGTTCGCGTTCCGCGTCGCCGAAGCACGGACACGAGCGCGTCTGCGCGTGTCGCGCTGTCCCGTGCACCACGTCAACACGCCGGTGCGGCCGCTGTCCCCACCCACCGGCTGCCCGAGCTCGAGTGCAACAACGGCGCCGGCAGCTTATCGACCACGTCATTCGCGCCGAGCACGACGATGCTGTGTAAGTGCCGGTCTATCGGTCCGCTAAGCGGGCGCTGGGGAGCGCCACTGGATCGGGATATTTCATATTAACTTCTTTGAGGGCTTTGCATGGTCAATATCTACCGTTTACATTTTCTCTCACGAGTCTGGTAGTGTCCGATTCAATATTTTATTTTATTTACTTTTTTCTCTTGCTGCCCAATCCGTAGCCGTGTATTGATTGATAGTCCATACAAGCCCGCCGAGATTCTTTATTTGTTGTTAATGAAACGGCATTTTGAGTAGAGGAACATTTATAAACTGAGATACCGGTAGGAGGTGTGCCAGTCTGTTGGGTGCCTCTGTTTTGTTCCCCTCTGTAAGCTCCGGTTGTGCGCTCCGGTTATGTTCTGTGTCTGACCAGCTGTGCTCCCCGACAGGTACCAGGAGGGAGGCACCACAAAGGAGCGTCGCAGCGTGGTGGTGCCGTACGAGCGACCGCCGCCGGGCACCCTCGACTACCTGGTCTCGTACCGGTTCTGCTGCATGAACACCTGCGTGGGTGGCATCAATCGGCGCCGCCTGATGGTCCTGTTCACCCTGGAGGACTCGAGGTGAGCGGGCGATGGTCGCGACACCTCTCCTACTCAGCGGGACAGCCTGCAGCCTGACGGGCACTGCACCAGTGCCGTCCATCGGGGACAGGTGCAGATGGGAGACCTGTGGTGTCCGACGACCAACGGGTATGTTACTAACATATGTATTATGTTCTTGGCAACTTATCGTTTTCTGTTGTTGGCCGAATTATCGAATGATTGCTTGCGCGACTTTAGCCGGCCCTGCTACTTTATCAACTTAACGACTTAACTTATTTAAACTAAGGTAGGCCAACTCAATGTTCAGTGTTGTGATCTGATAATTGGCTTAGCCAGCTTGCAGTCCTTAGGCGCCGCTTCTTCTTTCAGTGGCATGTACCAACACGGTGTGCTGTCTTTCAAACCACGTAAAGCATTATCTGCGTTTCCTGTCCAAACGTACACGGTCTGAATCCATCGGTTTACCCAAAATTGACCTGTGGTGCCTTTGTTTTGCCGACAGCAACGGAGAGGCGTTGGGCCGACAGTCCGTTGAAGTAAAAGTGTGCAAGTGCCCACACCGTGACGCGCGCACCGACCGGAGCCGCGCGCTGCCCAAGCAGCGCCGGCCGGCGTCCTCGCCCGACCCTCAGGAGCCGCCGGCGCGCCGTCCGTGTCCGGCCGGCCGCCTAGTCGTCGAGGTGGACGACATGATCGAATACGACCACCTGAAGGCCGTGCTGGCGTCGTTCCGCGCGGCGCGCCGCGGTCTGCTGAGAGCCCGCTCCACCAGTGACAGCGCCGCGCCCGCGCTGCCGGCCTCCGTCAGTAGCGATACGACCAGCAGCGAGCGGGATTCCCCTGCTGAGCGGCGCACGCTGTTCAAAACGGAGGCGCCCTGACTGAGCTGAGTGCGCCGTCTGATAGTGACGTTAGCCGAGGCGAGGAAGATGTCGCTACTTTGATCGCCGGTAGTTGACACTGCTGTCGCTACGACCGGCCCTTCATTGTCGTCGAAGGAAGGCGAACGGAGGCGATGAGCTGCTTGAGAGCTTGTTGCCATCGAGAGTCTTTCAGTGTATATAGCTGGTTTGGTCCTTTTGATTGGCTTACGCCCGGAGTGGTCCGTTTTGAACGCAGTGATACTCTGAGCTGGATGATAAGTGTTATTGATAAGTGTTATACGTGTCAACAACCATATTTGCTGTATGGATGTTTTGCAACTAGCTAGCAGTACGTGTATGTGAGATTAACGCTACCACAGCTTCAAAAATATATGTGCTTTGAAGAGATGAATGGTTTAGGCGAATAAGGCGATTGTCCCGAGTCGACAGTTCCGCGAGCTTCTTCAGTTATTCAGTAAATGCCGTGCATTTGTATCCGTTATGGCACAGTCAAGTGACTTCATTCGCTTTCATCAGCATAACAACATTACATTCAACATAACAAATACACTAACTATGGAGCATAATACAATGCTCAATTGACTGATGCAGCAATTCGTTAGTACAATGTTTCGGGTTTCCGATGAAATCTAGGCTACATACATCTAGACTACCTCGATGTAACTGAAGTTGGCACAGATTCAGCACAGCACAGATTCAGTAGGGGGAAAAAAGGATCCGGTAGGGGGAACCCTTTATGACCCGTTGCGTTTTCCCTTAGAAATGACGTCACAAGGTTAAAAACTACACTAGTCGAAAGCTCTCGTTAACCCAGACACAGCTGTGCAGTAAAATTTCACTTTTTCCCGCAGGAAAGTTTTTACGGGAAAATAAAAATTTTGGGTAATGGGAGGGGGGCCTCCCGATTTCGTTCAAAATCGGCACACAGGTGCCACACCATCAGACGAGCAACTTTCCCCAAAACGGTCCCCGTTGCATTGACGTTTAAGGCCCGTGAAGCCCCCAAAACTCGTAAAATATCCGTAAAATTTTGACGATTTTTTGCTCCACTTCTCTGGAAAAGCTCCACCCATGTCTCTGCCCTGTCCTGTCCTCTGTCCTGTCCTCTTTTTTTTATAAATTTAGCTCGAAGGGTTGAATGGACGGATTGACAGAGCCGGAGCCTACGCTAAGAGAAGCTTGTTGCGTAGACCGCGTAGACCCCGACCCCTACCGTCCGATCGCGCAATTCCGGCTAACGGGAGAATTTAGATGCCAAAGTTTAGCGTGCCTTTCAAAGCCGAACACGGCCTGTCCCACTCAACTGACTTCAACTGGTTGTAGCCATGCTCCCAGTGAGTCTCCCACCAACCGTAGACCATGTCCCCGTCAGGAGTCTCAAATATCAAGCGCCGGAGCGACTCGAACCCGGGCTCTCACCCAGCGCTCTACCAACTGAGCTACGGGACAGGCTCCTTTATCCTGTCGCCTGCCGTCCTCTGTCCTGTTGTCTGCCCGCTGTCCTCTCCTTTCCTCTGTCCCGTTCTCTGTCCTCTCCTCTGTCCAGTGTCCCGTCTACAATCCTGATGTCTGTCCTCTGTCCTGTCCTGTCCTGTCTTCCGTCCGCTGTTTTCTCTCCTGTCCACGCCACTGCTCACAGGTGTGTGTGCGCAGCTGGGGACGGCTGGCTGACTACTGCCGATCAGGCGCTCCGACCCGCACTTGCTGGCGTTATACTGGAGTGACGTGTAGTTCATCCCACGGATGGCACCATCCCCGCCGTGATCCGAGCGCAGTTCTGACCTGAGATGACCTGGCCTGACCTGGTGTGACCCCGCTGCGTCCGAGCTGTGCCGAAGCGATGTTTTGGTGGTCGGAGACGTCGAGAGAGCTGCGGCCGAGTCGCCGTCACCTGTATCCACTGCCAGAGGAGCCCGGCGCCACGGGTGAGTGTCAGTGTCAGTGTCAGTGATGTGACTGTGTCAGTGTCACTCAGTGACATGCCTGTGTCAGTGTCAGTGACATGCCTGTGTCAGTGTCAGTGACATGCCTGTGTCAGTGTCAGTGACATGTCTGTGTCAGTGATACGACCTTGTCATGGTTTTTGACACGTGGCAGTACGCAGTAGCAATATTATAACACGTGTCAGTGTCGATTATAGGTACGACTCGTGTCAGTATCAGTGATACAACCTGTGTCAGTGTCAGTGACACGACCCGTGTAACTGTCAATGGTTCAGCCCGTGTCAGTGCTAGTGATTCAATCTATGTCACTTGGTGGCATCGCCATCATCGACATGCATGGTAACACGTGATCGTGATGAGTGTTATCACAGTGACACTATACCCTCTGAGACATCGGACCTCGGCTGTGGGTTGGTCAGTTGGTCTTCGTGCATCAATGCCACCCTGCTCTGATAATGGTTGGAATCGGGCCCAACGGATGGGCGACGGCCGTCGTGGGATCATATGTTACATCCCGTCTTTACCCAGCCGACACAATATGAACGGACCTTACACCGCCCCAGGCAGTCGGGAACACGCTGCATAGGTAAACGCGTGCAATAGCAATGTGCAATGCGCAGCGTGCGCTGCATGTGCCGTAAGTGATGTCTGATGTGCACCGCGGTGACGGCTGAACGGGTAAACGCCACTTGAGGTGACTCATCATCCATCAAACAGGACGTGCAGGGCAGCACTGGTGGATCGGCCGGTTATCCTGATCAGCTGACTCGTCCAATACACGGTGCCGCCGCGGCATCGCGACTGAGAGCTGTTGGGACCTACTAACTGAGGTGCAACGAAGAGAGAGAGAGAGAGAGAGAGAGAGAGAGAGAGAGAGAGAGAGAGAGAGAGAGAGAGAGAGAGAGAGAGAGAGAGAGAGAGAGAGAGAGAGAGAGAGAGAAAAAAAGAGAGAAAGAGAGAGAGGGGGGTAGAGACGAAGAGAGGGATGGGAGAGTGACGGAGAGAGGGACAGAGAGAGAGAGGGGGGACAGAGAGAGCCAGGGACAGAGAAAGAGAGAGAGAGAGGGAGGGAGGGAGGGGACAGAGACGGAGAGAGAGAGAGAGAGAGAGAGAGAGAGAGAGAGAGAGAGAGAGAGAGAGAGAGAGAGAGAGAGAGAGAGAGAGAGAGAGAGAGAGAGAGAGAGAGAGAGAGAGAGAGAGAGAGAGAGAGAGAGAGAGAGAGAGAGAGAGAGAGAATGATTCGGAGTCTCGGAGAGATTACAGAGATTGGATATTCAATGCGATTGAATGATTGAGGTAAGCATCACTGCAATGAAAGCAGATGAACGGTAGAGACTGATATAAAGTAAGAGCAAGGGCTGAGGAACATGGATGGAAAATACGTAGCCAGGTATTACCTTGTTGTTTAGAAGCTCAGATAATCTAAATTCCTCAATAGTTGGTCACATTCCGCCGTTCCACAGTGGAATACCACTGGCTAACGAGCTTCCGGCGTAACGAACGCGACCGTTCGGTCGGCTGTGGGTCGGTCTGCCGGACGGTGCCCCTGAGCGGTCCCTCTGAGCAGAACGGTGTCCCAGTTGTCTCTCTGTGCGCGGCGCGCGCCGCAGCTCGGCGTCGTCACGGTGTGCGCGCTGCACGGCCGGCCGCCCCCGCCCCCGCCGCCGCCGCCGCCGCCGCCGCCCGGACGCGGTCGGCGCTCCCGGCCTTGTGACTCAGCCGCCCGGCCCGACGGTCTGTCGGCGGCGGCGGCCAGTCGGAGCGGCGCGGCGCGGACGGCGGTGTGTGTCACGGTGTCTGTCGGTGTCGGAGATCGGTGGACGTCCAGGCCGGCGTGCAGAGTTGCCGACAGCCATGTCCGCTGAGCGGACTGCCCAGTGTGAGTTTGCGGACAGGGCGTGGTCTGACCCCGGTGGACGGGGCGTGGTCTGACCCCGGTGGGCGGGGCGTGGTCTGACCCCGGTGGGAGTACCCCGTTGGGGCTGACCGCTGCGGGTCAGTGTGGGTATATGAGTGATGGATGAGGGGGTGCTAGTGCTGGTGCCTGGTGGTATAGTCTCGTTTAGTGCGTCCTAGTCGAAGGATAGCATGTTGCGTTTCAATTTCCATCGAAAACAGTGGACTGAAGTCAACAACAACGTCCGTCATTTGCCGTTCGATACAACGTTATGACACTACTTTGCAAAAAAAATCCTATGTGCAACCTTGCCGCAGGTTTGAGCTAGACCTCAGCCTCAAGTTTGCAACAAAACACATTTGAGTGTCTGTTTGGCCCGGGTGAATTAATGCATCCATTACCAATACAGACTTCATGTCAAGTCTAGCAACTTGAACGAAGCTGGCCGCCAAACTTGAACAAACTTTACCTTCCTTAAATTAATTATTATTCATTTGTTTTAAACTAAGACTAAAGCTATTGTTTAAAAATTGAGGTTTTTGCCCGACGTTTCGCGTTTATTGCTTATTCATGGGCTAATGCTCGCATCAGATCGATCGATCGAACTGATACGATATCTTTTAGCGAAAGACAATGTTTATAGTGAAGCGTGCTGTCAATGATGTTATTTGAATTTTTGATATGTATGTCGACGAAACTCGTGGTTAAAGAGCGATTAATCTCGTTAGGTAAGTACATGTTTCTTCAGGGAAAACAGTTCGATGTGATGGCTCAGAAATCGAATCGAGCCGCCCCCAAACCATTCACTGTTCCGATCGAGCCGTTCTCGATCACGGAACGACGGCCAGATGCAGCAACCACACCCCAGTGACTGCAGACGTGCGCTGCGGCCACGGCGGTGGAATCCAGACACCTCAACCGCGTCTCCGCGGCGGTGGACGGGCTCGCAGCAGCCGGTGCCGTCAACACTCCTCAGACAGCCGCGCGGTCACCGCCCTCCTCCGCGGCAGCTGCTGAGACGGCGGCGACGGCCTCGTGAGAGAGCGGCGCGGCGGCCCAGCGGAGCTGCCGCTCGCGATGCGGCCGTGCCCCGCCGCCCACCCGCGGACCGTGGCGGGGGTCAGCTGCGCTGGCGTCGCGCTCGGTAGCTGCAGCGCTGCTGCGACCCCGTCCGGCCCCGCCCCGTTCAGCCGTTCAGACGGCGGCGACGGGATGGCTTGTTTATAGCAGCCGCCGGATCCGGCGACCGGCGCCGGTCGGGTGCGGTGCGGTGCGCGGCGGGGCGGGGCGGTGTGGGGCGGTGTGCTGGGGTCGGTGAGCCCGCGGCGGAGGACGGACGGCTGGCAGCTGACACCGTTCACGGCGCACCTGTGCCGCGCGCCGCCACGCCGCCGGCCTCCCCTCGCTCGCGCACGGCGGTGGGGCGTGGCACGGGGCTGCGGTTCGTGTCCCAGCCGCGCCGGATTGCAGCAGGCGGCGGTGACAGCCGGCGCGGCCGCGCCCGGCCTGGCCAGCCCAGCACGAGACGCGCGCCGCTCCGCTCCGTCGCGCTGAGCTGGACTTCGCACGGGCACCGCGGCGCCGGAAAACGTAACGGTTCGGCCGCGAGGCGCGCCGCCGGTGACAGCCCCGCGCGGCATTGTCACAGCCTTGGACACCGGGTCTGACGGACGGCTCAGAGCCGCCGCGACCGGCCGGGACACCGACAGGGACGGAACTTACCGCCCGGCTGCCGCGGCCCGCGGCCGCCGGTCTCACCTTTCTGAAGTGGGGACCGAGCATCCAATCCGGGTCTCAGTGTCAACCTGAGACGTTCCTAGAAGGTTCTCGGTGGAAGCCGACGTTCGGGAGGTTTTCTGACGTGACACATGACGCCATCATGCTCCTGCTTTGTCAGAGTTTTGGGATGTCGTACTTTGGCTCCACACACAGTTTTTGGGACGCCACGTTGGCAGTCGCCCAGCTGCGACCGACTATCGTGGGTGGTCCGCGCCGGGAGACCTCCATTGGTGCTGCGTCAACACATCGAGTCGCGGGACGAGCCCCGGGTGATCTAACAGCAGATGGCGTCCGGCTGCCACCCCAGTCAGGTGCCTGTCATACCAGGCGACTGCCAGACCGGCAGCCGCTGTAGTAGACAGTCAGACTGTCCAACGGATAATCAGACTAGCACGATTTCGGTCAGCATCCAGACTCCTCTTCCGATCGATAACGATCATTTGATGAAATCGGAACTATTACATCCTGCAGACCGGGCTGATGTCAGAATCGGGATCGATCACAAACTAAGGCAATTCAGCCCAACCCCGCCCACCACCCCTGGAAAGTGCCTGGCTGTGACCCACAGCTCTCGGTGGCCGGTCGGTCCAATGACGTCATCACTGTGACGTCACCGGACGGCGGTGACTCAGACTTAGGGTGACCTTCACGGAGTCCCAGACTGGCCGACGGGCGCCACGCCGGCGTTCTGCCCACTGCCGGTCTGGTATGTGGCTGAGGCCAACCCTGCTCCGTCCGTGACGCCAATTAGACTCAGCAAGACAGTCACGATGTTTCACAACCCTTGCACTCTGTGCTTAGTGTTCAGACTGTGTGACCAGAGAGTGGCATTCCTTGGATGAAGGTCGCGACGTCGATGTCCCATGTCAATGTCGATTGCATCAATTAAAGGTTTTAACTTTTACATTAATTTGGTAATTTTTGAATTATGCTCAAATTTAAGCGGAGATCGATTATGTTCAATCGAATTGCAGCTATCAACAATAGGCCCTCTCTGGGTTAATCCTGAAAATGGATTGATTTTTAAACGTTCATTGGGTTTTAAAACAGTGGCGAGTTCGACCAACGTCGCTCGCGAGTCCGTTTAGTATGCTGGCCTTGCACGCCGTTGGGACCGACTGGGGTGGAGTGGGGTGATTGCCTACATACTGCGGCGGGCTGGCTGGTCTGGGGTGTGCAATCGGCTCCAGGGGTCCTTTAGGTCGCCTGCAGAGAGGCGCGCTGCAGCAGCACCCCGCACTGTCTGCTGTGCAGAGCCCCGAACGGCAGACGGGGATCGGTGGCCGTCCAGGGTGCACCAAGGACTGTTGATTGGTTAAAGTTTGTGAGGGAATTACGCGGAGACAGAGAACGGCGACGTATGCCGGTGGTCGTGCTCGACACCCACAACCAATTGTAGAGAATTGCGACGAGGAACTCGACCGGTGCTGTAGCTGGAAGTGCGCACAGACAATGAGAGAAACTCCTTCAATGTTAGCTTAATTTACAGAAAGAGAATGTCAGCACGCGAATGGCCAGGCAGACATTCGCAAACAAGCCAACAAACAGAGACCGATTATTCATGGTCTCCCCATCCTCTCGAGTGCTGACCGATTGCTCCGAGCTCGTCGCCGTCCATGTTTACGCGCGGCCGTCCGCCTCGGTCAGGGTCCGACTCCGGACCACCCAGGTCAGCGAGGTCAATAGATCGAGAGCCGTCGGCGCCGCCCGGCACCCCGGCCAGGGTGGCCGGTCGGTCCACCCGGGGCGTGGCACGGCACTGGTCGATGGGCGCCGACGCTAAACTGCGGTCCAGCTGGGAAAGCCACGCGAGAACGGCCCACTGCTGGCTTTCGTGCTCGCTTATGTAACGTGGAGAGTGGTCGGCAAAATATTGCAAGTGATGTCTGTGTGGTCGTTTAGTTGCGCAATTGTGTGCGGGTCTGTTGATGCCGACTTTCTTCAGTTCGTCTCCTGCTTTGACACTCGAGTCGTAGAAACGATCCGGCAACAGCTCCTGCCTGACCTTACCCTGTCGGCCGTCCTTTTCTTACGTGTTCCACCACCACCAGAGTGATCGTCCGCTCCCTATGCAGACGTGTCGTTCTGTGTCCTTTTGCCTTTTCGCTCTCTCCAGACGTTTGTTACGACCAGTGCTCTGACCGTGCCCCTCTCTACAGATGTGTTGTACCACCAGCGAACCAGCCGTAATGTGTCCGACGCCCTGTGCGGGTCACGTGAGAATGAGATACCCCTCGAGGAACAGACGACCAGTCCAGGTAGCTGCAGAGACAGCAGGCGCATGGTCCAGGAGCTGAATTCCAGATGGCTTTGTCTTGTCCCGTCTCCGTCCGTTCGTAGTATCGTTGAGCATGTTTGTGGTTGTTTATTTCTGGATCGCTGTATGTGCCTTTATGTGACTCATTACTCATTAGGGTCAATAACGGTAACAATAATGTCTGCTTACTTAACAACTTGCTCTTGGCATTAACCATGAGCCTTTCCTTTACAAAGTGTCAGCCCATGTTTCATACGCTTGTGAAGTTCTGTGGCGCTTGGAACGCCTCTGTTGTTTGAATCCTCTACCCGCTCGTTTTAGCGCTACGCTGACTCAGTTCGGCTGATGCTAAGAACGGCTGCTATCGATCCTGTCAACTTCCCTCGACCAGCTATCGATTGCTGTTCACACGGGCGTAGGAACGTCATGAAAAGTGGGCGGGCCACCCTGTCAAGGGGCCTCCTTTTCCAGGGGGCCTCCTATTTTCAGGGGCCTCCAACTTTTGCCTCGTCCTGCTGGCTGCTTTCAAGTATGACCTCCAAATCTAGCTTCTGAGATCGGGCAGATGTACCCAAGGGCGTAACCGCTTAAGCGAACAGTGCGGAAAGTCCGCACCATTTTTAAAACTTATTCCCCCTCCGATTTTTTTTTTAGAATATATGCCGCAAACGGCGCATGACCCCTGAAAACCCTTACACAAATGTCTTCCTCGTTTCCCAGGTGCCCCCATTAGCTTCATAGGCGCCCTCTTTGGCATATAAGCGCCCTATGTATAGTCATCAGAGACATCCCTATATGTCCCACAGTCCGTTGTCGTTGTCCCCGTTGTCGCATACAATGTGTGCTTATCATAGGCGTCTCTCTTTTATGGACACTTGAAGGCGCCTCTCTTTGCCATGCCGGCGCCCCTGTTTCTTATGAATGCACCCCCATGGCATTGATCAGTTGCAGTCTTGCAGACCTCTATTGCATGTGGACGCCCATATATGTAGGCCTCAGAACCGCCCCTGTTTCGCATATGGGCTTCATAGGCGCCCCTCTATTGCACGTAGGTGCCCTTCTGTCTCCGAACCGCTCCCCTTTGGCATGCAGACGCCCATCTTTCGTACGGAGGAGCCGCTGTGGTTCTTATTAGAGACGGCATGGTGCTGCCAGACGCAGATGGGGCTCTCGGAGTCGACAGTGTGGGACCTTCAGTCGCTGATGGGTGCCCGCCAGATGTGGACCCTCGGAAACGCCGGTATGGGGCCCTCAGAGATGCCGGTATGTGGCCCTTAGAGACACCGGTGTGGAACCCTCAGATACTTCAGTGTGAAGCCCTTACAATTGCTGGTGTGGAGCTATGAATGCGCTTGCTTAAATCCCTCAGAGGCCGATAGGTACATGGACATTAGAGCTCAGTGAGAGCTTGTGTGGTGCCTTCAGTGGCCTTGTGGAGCCGTTAGACATCAACATGGTGCTCTCAGGAGCCGGTGAGTCCTCAGAGTCACCGGTGTGGGGCCTTCAGAGCTCCGAGACACTGGTGTGGGGCCCTCAGAGGTGTCGGTGTGGGTCCTTCAGATGTACAGGTCTCGCGAGATTAAGCGTTAGGTTTTGCACTTTTACATTTCCGGTTATATCTCAGAAACTAATCGATCTACGATGAAACCATTTTACACGGTCATGGCCGGCTTGTTACCCAACAAGTCGATCGCATCTTCAACACTTAAAAGCTTAAGACGACGAAGATATAGCCTGAAGTACACTAAATTTTCTAGGTGCAAAACCTACCGCTAAAACCCGCGAGACCTGTACCTGTAGAGCCTTGAGATGCACAGGTGTGGTGGCCCACAGAGGCGCCGGTGTGGGGCCCCGAGAGCCACCGATATAGGGCCCTAGGAGACACTAGTATGACCCTCAAAGGCGCCGCTGTGTGGCGCTCATAAACACTGGTGGGGAGCCATCACAGGCGGGTGGAGCCGCTAGAGGCCGGAAAGGGCCCTTAGATGCCTACAAGGAGCCTTCAGAAGCCCTTATGCCACCCTTGTGGGGATAAGCCTGTCTACTTAGGAGCCCTTGAGGTGCTCTCATGAGCTCTGTGGGGCCCTACCGAGCCGAAATATGGCCACGGTCAGTTGCCGCCGCATGGCTCTTCGGACTATCATTCTCAGGGGCCTCATCTGCCTAGTTTGAATAGAAGGGCCTCTCAGACCATCAGTCTCATGGGCCTCCTCTGGCTAGTATAAATAGAAGGACCTGTTAGACCATCAATCCTAGGGGCCTCCTCTGGTTAGCATAAATGGAAGAGCCTATCAGACCATTAATCTCTGGGGGCTCCTGTGGACAGTATGAATAAAAGGGCCTCTCAGACCATCAGTCTCGGGGGCCTCCCTAGAGAAGTGTAAATGTGGATAGAGGGCCCCCTTAGATTCATTAGGAGTGGACCTCTCTGACTACCAGTCTCAGGGGCCTCTCGTGGCCAGTATGAATATAAGAGCCTCTCAGACCATCGGTCTCAGGGGCCTCTTCTGACTAGTGTGGATAGAGGGCCCTTCCAGACCATCGGTTTCAGGGGCCTCCAGTGGCCAGTTATATGAACAGAAGGGCCTCACAGCCATCAGCCTCGGGGGCCTCTTCTGACTGGTGTGAATATGAGGGCCTCTCATACCATCAGTCTCAGGGGCCTCCTCTGCCTAGTGTGAATATAAGGGCTTCCCAGGCCATCAGTCTCAGGGGACTCTTCTGACTGGTGCCGGATTGAGGGACCTCCCAGACCGAAAGTTTTGGGGGTCTCCTGTGGCCAGTATGAATAGAAGGGCCTCTCAGTCAATCAGTCTCATGGGCCTCTTCTGCCTGGTGTGATTATAAGGGCCTCTCAGGTCATCAGTCTCAGGGGCCTCCTCTGACTACAGTGTAGATGGATGGATAGGCCTCCCAGACCAGCAGTCTCAGGGGCCTCTTCTGACTATTGAGGATAGAGGGGCCTCCTCTGACTAGTGAGGGTAGGGGGCCTCGGCTAGACCGCCAGTGTCAGGGGCCTATTCTGACTAGTGTGGATGGAGGGGCCTCCCAGACCACCAGTCTCAGACCTCTGACTAGTATGGATAGAGGGGCCTCCCAGACCGCCAGTGTCAGGGGCCTCCCCAGACCAGTGTGGATATTGGGGCCTCCTCAGATCCACTAGGGTCTCTCAGGCCATCAGTCTCAGGGGCTTCGACTGACAAGTATGTACAGTCTGTCTTAAAAGTACCGCGCAAAGTGACGGTGGATCCATCATGCCTGACCGAGGAAGGGCCTACTAAATTTGAGTCACTGAAGCAATTCACATCCTCGTCCATTCCCTAGGTCAATTGGTTCGGTGACTTTCAAATAATAGCAGGCCCTACCTCAGTCAGGCTTGATGGATCCACCGTCACTTTGCGCGGTACTTTTAAGACAGACTGTACAGAGGGCCTCCTTGGATCCATCACTGCCCCTTGAGAGTCCGTGCGTGGGGATTCGTGGAACTTATTTTTACCGAGTTTGTTTATTCTGGAAGGTGACGACGTCCTCTCAAATCGAGACAAGGGGCCTCGAGTAAAAAGTGGGTGGGCCAAAACACATGGTTGGCCCCCCCACCTCGAAAAGTGGGTGGGCACTTGCCCACCTGGCCCCCCCTGTTCCTACGCCTATGGCTGTTCAAACTACAGGCTACAGCTGTGCCGGGAGTCCACTAACAGCTGGGTAGCCAATCACGGGACATCCCGCGATCAACCTGTCTCAGCTGCATGCCATGTTCGTGTGTTTAAAGTCGTGCACGTGTTGTAGGCATGGCGCCTGACTCCTGAGTCAACCGATGCCCTGTTGGGGTAAGATCATCCGTGTTACATCAGATCACATCAGATCGTTGTACCGATTAGAGTAAGGGAAGCTTGCGCCCTAAGCGTTGTCCTTGATGGCTCACATTTTTTTTTTGCATTGTCGAACGGGCATTTCTGGGAAGTGTCTATGTCCACATCTGGGACTTTTTGTGGGTGATTTGCGGGAGGAGGAGGGGTGGCGCGCGGTTCCAGGACAGTGGGCCAAGGCCTGCTCAGCGGGTGGTGGCTGACTCTAACTGGAGCAGACTGGCAGAAGACGGACACTGGCCAGTCAGTGCTCGGCGCTCGGGCCTCGCCCTGTGCGTGAGAGGCAGCTCGTCTCGCGCCTTTGTCCGTACCGACTGCCGTCCGAGCCCGGGCAGACGGGAAAAACTCATCAGCACGAAATGCAGCGGCCGAAGGCGCTGAAAACAAAAAGCACGAAAGCTGGATGGACAGCTGTCGGTTATCATCAGGCGGGATAAATTAAAATGAATAAGGGAGATTGGGGATAGGTCTGCATGGTGCAGCTATTTCAACAGGTGATAAACATTCTGCAAAACTAACTGCATGTGCCATGGTAGCGCATTATTGTCTCTTACTTTCAATGTTATCGAAGGGTAGGTATATTAAAACTGCAACTCCAAGAAGATATTGCAGCTCTCGTGCATACAGAAGTTCCTGCCTGATTCGGTGATTGGTGCCCCATCTGTTCCGTATGCGACATACTATGCGTGCCTCGTTTGCCGTGTACCCTCGGTACCGTCTGTGTCTCGTGTGCCGCGAGTCCGGCGCCGCGTTCTCGTGACGGGGTGACGGCGCGCCTTCCGCCCGCTCCAGCGGTCCGTCACGGCGGTGGCGGGCGTGACGGTGCGCGACGCTGCGGCCGCAGCACCGGTCTCCCCACCGGCGGGACGGCCGCAGTGCCGGCGGTGCCGTGAGGTACGACTCTGACCGATCCCGTGTCTCCGCCCCGCAGATGGTGCGGCCGCCGCCGGCTCGGCTGGTCTCTCGTTCGGCGAGAGGGAGCCCAGAGCTCGACGATCCCGTCCCAACGGGGAGAGACTCGGACGCAGCCGCGAGGAGCTCGACACACGGGTGAGATCTGAGAGCAACTTCCTTTCCAACTGTGCACCCCATTCTCGAGACATAAAACAAGTGTTCTCCTGTGAAAACACTGTATCTCAGGCTGTTCGTTTACCCCTCGCCCCGATCTGACCCCACTGACCCGGCTACCTGCTCTGCTCTCAGGACGACCAGGATCTTCGTGTGACGGCCAGTCCGATGGCACGTGCCGGGCCCGTCCCCGACAGGGATGCCTGGAGGGAGAACCGCCGCCTCCACCAGAGCAGTCAGATTCTGCTGGCGTTCGGCAGCTCATCACCCCGCTGGGAGAACTCGGCAGACATGGGGCGCAGGTCAGTTGAACTGGGACGCAGGTCAGTTCATTAGGGTGCAGGTCAGTGCACAGGGGACGCAGATCAGTGCACATGGGACGCTGGTCAATTCACATGGGATGCGGGTTAATTCATGTGGACGCAAATCGGCTCAATTCGAGCGATATGGAGCCTACCTATAGGTCAGCTCGGCTAGGCAGATATGGGACGCTAGTCAGTTCGGCTAGGCAGGTATGGGCACAGCACAGATCGTTCCATTAGAATTGCGGGCTAGTTCAGCTCGGCAGCTTATGGCTGCAATGCTGAGCGTCGGTGTCTGAAAGAGACACTGATGTCGCCTTGGGCCTTCTTGTGTATCTCGCTACCTATATCTAACTAAAACATCTAACTACACTACATCTAGCTAAATAACAGTACATCTAACTAAAATAACTAAATTTATATTGTGAGTTTAATCACCTGAAAGAGACACTGATGACACTTGGGCATTCTTGACACTTGGGCATTCTTGTGTATCTCCCTACCTACATCTAACTATATTGTAAGTTTAATCATCGACATGCAACAATTCGAAAAGGCAGCTGAGATACCATTCAAATTAAAAGTCGATGGCTTTGTGTTTCGTTCCACTGCATGCACTGACAAAATTTGTCACACATTGTGGTGATTTATGAACAACGTGCAGTTTACATCCGCCAGTGTGTCCCGTCGCTAGTCTGACATTTGCAGCCATTGAGGGAAACGGAGCGGTGAGGGAGTCTGATTTTGTAGCGCCCCGCCTGCCTACCGATGCCATCGCGCTTTATATTCTTGCACTTTCACGGCCTTTATATAAGTGAAACAGCAGTGGGCGGTGGTGTTTGTTTTATTTGGCGATGTTCGTAACTTAAAAGTGAATGGATGTGCAAGTGTATTGGCTTTGCGCTTCTTTTCGCCGAATTAGCGATAATTTAGGCATGACCGATTTGATCACCGTAAGAACGTCATTTTGTAGACATGACGTGACGCTCTCCATTTGTTGTGATTGCCCGTTATGCTTCGTTGTGTCCGTTCCTGATGCACAGCAATGAGCCAATATTACCAATTTATAGGTATGCATCATTTGGCCACTGTCTTGATATGCTACTTCATGGTTTCCTTTTAATGAAAGCGTTTCATTTATTTACGCCGTGTTGATTTCTTTATCAGCACTCCGTCCATGATGTTATGCTGGATTGGCCCGTGGCTCACGACTGACCGACTGACTGACGGCTCCTGCTCCTGTCGTATGCTGACCGGGGGTCGGTGTCGGTAGGTACATCGAGTTCTGGAGTCGGCCCGCCTCGCCGGTCACCCCGTGCTCCCATCTGACCCCCAGATGTACGTCCAGCTCTCAGCTCGACGCGGCCGGTCAGCGCACACCGATCGACGGTAAGGCGTCGCCGTCCGGCCACGCCGGCTCGTCTCCGCTGCCGCTGCTGCTGCCGTCCGCCGCCGCATCAGCATCCGCTCTGTCCGCACGGGGTGAGCACGCTCTCACCGCTCTGTTCTCACCGCTCTGCTCCCACTGCTGGCCACCGCAGACAGGCCGGCAGCACGCCTTCTCACGGACACAGCTTGCACCACACTTCACTGCGGCTGTCGGAACCACACAGACGGGATGGAGAGAGACTGTTCTGTGGCAGCGGTATGGAAAGTCCATCTCTGTCTGACCAGAGCTCTCTTTATTAGCTCAGCATGGGACTATTTGTCTGTCAGTTGTTCATGCATAAATAAATGTATGTATAGGCATGTAGTTCCTACCTGCACGAGACGTTTATGTGCTGCATATATGCACTTACGTAAGTAACTTGTAAATGCCTTTATGAGACAGTAACGATATTGCAAATTGCATGTTTTGTTGTCACAATAACCATCTGCCTCTATGTAAATGTTGTTCGAGAGAAACAAAGCTTAGAAGCTACATCTTCCACTGTGTGCGTATATAGCTATGTTGCTGCTGGACTGGCTTTCCGCTTGAGACGTAACTTACTTCGCCTAAATAGCTGTTGTTCCTACAAGACCAAATAAGCTTCCTTACTGTACCCTTTACGTATACTCACCTTCTAAGTCTGTGACAAACATCAACGGTGTTAAAGGTAATGGAGGTAAGGCCTGTTTGGCTCTCATTTAAGAGCCCGGACTGGTCAGATTTGTCCCGGATAAGTATATCCTGGGTGGTCTCTTTTAGGTCTTCAATGGCCTTTTATTCGTTCGTTCGCTGAACTGGTCCGCGCTAAACGCCGAAATCTCTCCGTTCCCTCGAGAGTCCGCCCCTCCCCTCCGGTCGAGCCTGCGCCTTGCTGGAGCCGGTGTTCAGAGTCCATGGGTCGGCACGTTTTCAGCGCTGCGCTCCGAGCACCGGCGGGCCTCGTCTTCGATGTCGGACCTGACGGACGGCGGACGGAGCCCCGCCGGCCGCGCACCGCCGCCCCGGTACCCCAGTCCCCTCGGAGCGCGCTCCGGTAGAGCCGGTGAGTGGGCTCACAGTCCAGCACCTCCGCCGGATGGGCCGCTGTGACTCCCCAGCGGCAGTGGGCGACTGTGAGCTCCTGTGTGAGGATTGCCTGGCTGGTCGACGGGGCGCTCGCCCCTGCTCGGTAGTCTGTTCGGTTCGGAGCGTTGTTTCTTCGTTTCGTGGGCCTGTTCGTTTGGTTTCTCCTTTGTTGGAAAGCGAGATTTTCGTCATGTTTAGTTGGCTTCACTGGATTTCGTTTGATTCGTGATGCATTGCCGATGCGACCGATTTTCTCCGCAAGTGCCTGCCTCATCGCTTACGTTTGTTGAGTTTTTTTTATTTCTACACGGAACGTAGGATTTCGATTGTAAGGGTATTTGGAATATTGTTGGAATATTGCGCTTGTTTTTCCATCGCACTTTGCCGGCACTTTTCCATTTCGTTGACTTTCATGGGTTTCCTGGGCTTTTGTTGTCGCTTAAGGTTATTTAATGGTGTAGGCACATGACATCGCATGTACTCGATTCTTGCAATCTACACATTTTTTTCTTGTACATTTTCCCATGCGTAGCAGCTCATCTGGGCCATCGCCTGATAACTTCACTTATCGTCATTTGTCTGGCTTTCTTTTTATTTCCGCTCTGCGTGGACTTTATCCACTGTCTTTACACCGACTTAGTCTGAATCGTTGTGGGCAACACATTCGAAATGATGAATGCAGCTTCGACTGGGTCACATGTTTTCAATAACTACCGACTGGTGGTGGCGATGAAAAAAAAAAACACTAATAAGCCTGCCCATTCCATTCCAACACGCTGCTCAGGACGAAGAAAATCCATCGATGCTGCGTCAAATTCTACACTGAGTAAGCTATACCTACCACAAATGACGTCTCGCCTACTGACAGCAGATGAATATAGCTTTGAACGTGTCGTATACCTAAACCAACACCTATGTTCTTTTCATGTGTTTACATTTATTTTCGATTATTGTGATGAGGTAACTCTGACTGATGTGCCATAAGTTGTCTCCTATCGAAGGACTTACATTCGATGTCACATACCTACTCGACCGCTGTGCCATTTGCCATCACCGTATTGCCTCCCAGTGCTATGTTGTCTTCCAGTGTTTGTTGTCTCCCAAGTGTCATGTTGTCTTCCGCAGTGCTATATTATATCTCGCTTATGTCTCTGGCCGTACCCGTACCACCTCCGGCCGTACCCGTACCATCTCTCAGCGCTGTGTCTCCGTCCGCAGAGGAGCCGTCCGCCCGGCGGCACCGGTCCGACCTGACGCCGACCGCGCCGCCTGGCCACTCGTTCCGGGACCCGCCGCCGGCGCGACACCGCTCGCCAGGTAAAGCGGTCTCTCTGAGCCGGCTGGACGTGCTGTCGCGGCCGCGGCGGCCGCTGGCCAGCCGCCCTGACCTGCTGCATGTGTCGCCGGCGCCGGCCGCCGGCCGTCAGTGGCAGAGCATGTGGCACCTGGGACCGGTGGCGGCGCCGCGACCTACGCGAGCCACCCTGCTGAGACGAGCCGCCCGACAGTCGCCCACGCACCAGCCAGGTAGGTGGCGGACCGACCCGCGGAGCGACACAGACACACGTCAGGGGCGCACCTGGGGAGGGGGGGGGGGTCAGGGATGTGAGGGGTGATATGAAATGTATAATACTAGAGAGGTGGTATCTTATTGTGATACCACCTTATGTCTTAGGAATCCGAAGTGAATCGCGGAAGTAAAAATTTATTTAAGGACACTTTGGATTGTGAAATGAAGCGCTTTATTGGTTGTTCCTAATCTCCATCGGAATGCCCGTGAATAAGATATCTTATGAAGGTTATGAAAGCGCAGTATTTGGTCGTTCCGTGCACACCATTCATCGAACCGGCTTTAACAAAAGTTGACCGTCTTTCCCATGAGCTAGGCCCAAGAGACGTCCCCTAAGTGCTTTTACGTAAACGGCTTGGTGTCCCCTCAACTGGCAAGCATACCGCAACTTTTGTCACAGCAGACTTAACGGCAGTATCCGACTGCCATTTTGGCTCGTATGTTTGCGTATGCATTGTATTCGAGCAGTAAGCCCCGAGTCGGTTTAATTATCTCAGTCTCGGTGTGGCCAGCCCGAGGTAAGGCGTCAAGTCACTCTGTGCGCTGCACTGGACCTCAGAGGAGACACTCAGGCACTCTCTGCACCACCTCGCGGCACCGCGTACCCATCAGGTAAACGGAGTCCCGACTCGCCGCTCTAACGTCTCTGCTGGCCCAGTCTAACCAACCTATCTCAGTGGTTAAAACGTATGTGCCTGCCTCCCTTTGCGCCTCTTTCACTACTGACTTCTGCGCTTGCTGGAGCATGAGCAACGAGCATGCCTAGCCCTAATTTCTAACGCTCTAAATAAATGGTAGATTCGATATGCATGAATTTAAACTTATTAACCAACATCAGAAAGCATGGGTAGAGCTTTGCCAAATCAATTGTTTCATAGCCACAAACTTGATTCAATGGGCCCAGCCATTTAATTATATCAAGGAAAAGCAGACGTTTGGGTACTGAACGGCCTCAATTCCATGTAACCAACTCGCTTAACGTGTGGTGTATGCACGATAAGGGAAACTCCACCCATGCCGCTTTATTCACGGAGCCGGCCTGAGCTCAGCTATATCGTTCCCACGAACGTTACTCTTTTCCTGGCCGAGGCACAGTACTCGCCAGCCTAATGCTTGATGTCGCTCAAATCACATTATAATGCAACATCAAAAGTTGTACTAATACACTGATGTCTATCCTGATGAAACAAATACCTCAGCAAACATAATATCTCGGTGCATTGAAGATCCACCGTTACATTTCTATCGGTCGTCACCATAGTTTTAGTTTAGATGCTTAGACTGTGGTTAGATATAGTAATGTGCGATGTGTCACCGTATAATTGTGCTTATGTCTGAGATGCGGGTGTTATTCTGTGCCGCATTAGTGAGGAGAAAACGGCCCAAGGGTAAGGGTAGGTGTTGTGTTGTTCGACAAATATCTCCAGCATCTCAACCCTATCAGATTATACCGCATTGATGTCCCTTATTAAACGTGTCCCGTGGCCGTGTCGACATTGTTCCTTGCTCGTGAGTCCCTAATAATTGTACCGACTATACACCAGTCTTTTACCGATAGTGTTCCCTGTACACCAGTCCCTCTTGTACCCACAGATCCAGCCCCAGCCCGTACTAATTTTGATAAACATTAGCCCCTCGCGTACCCTATCCCCTGTATATACTGACCTGAGCCGCCCTCAGGTATCGTGGCCGGCGCTCCAGCCGGCTCCCGACCTCCCTCGGCCCAGTCCCAGCAGGCCGGGCCGGCGGCAGCGGCCGGTGGAGCGCGGCCGTCACCCCTGCGGCCCAGGAGCGGCGGGCGCAAACCGCGGCCTTCCAGTATCGCCGGTCTGCCCACACCGCGGCATGGCTCCGAGCCCGGCACACAGCACACGGCTGAAGGTGGGGTAGAGGGAAGGAGGTGGATTGGGGTAGTCTATCGGCTGTCGTTCTTTTGGGAGCGTTGGGTAGAGGCGTGTGTGGCTCATGTGGGAGTTGGGCAAAAGACAGGGGAGTATGTGGGAGTCGGGCAAAACACAGGGGTATGTGGAATATGAGAGTTTGGCGCAGAGTCGTTATGGTGCTGTGTTGAGGACAGTGGACAAAGGACAGAAATGATGTCATCGAGACAGGAGTGGCTATGTCGCTCTGTTAAGGCATTGGACAAGAGAAGTCAGTGATTATCGGTATGTTTTTGGGCAGTGGACAGCTGTGGATGACGAGTCTGTTACGCCTGCCCACGTCTCTTTATACCCTGCTCATCTGACGCCCCCGTTGACCCTACCCCCACCTCTCCAGGCCGGGGCTCGAGTCGCAGCGGCAGCTCGTCCACTCCTCGTCGCCCTCTGCCCGCCAGCGCCCCCACCAGTGAGGCCCGCCGGCCAGCCGCCGCAGCAGTGTCCTCTCCACGGCGTACTCCCGCTCAGGTCAAGGCCGATGACGCCCGCAAAAAGGTCAGACACTAGCGAGCTCTAAACACTCACCAGGTACACTCAGTGGTGCATGCTGGGTCAGTTGCATGCAAAGAAGTGACGATGTTTTTGTCACTCTTGATGTATCAACCTGATGCGGAATGTAGCAAAAACGGTCACACCGCTGAATTTTAAGCAACATGTAATCGCCAGCGATTAAGCTGCATGTGAGATGGGTGCCAAGGTATAACGCTCCTTCCTTTGGTGATTTCCCACAGAAGCAGCGGTCCAAGTCGAGCACACCCCAGCCGGAATCACGGACCGGCCTGCAGCCGACCTCAGAGTCCGGAGGCTCAGAGCCCAGGTCCAGTCCAGCGCCGTCCAGCAGTAGTGCAGAGGGCAGCACCGGGCATCCGCGAGGTGGCAGCACTGAGCCGCCGGCCGTCACATCGCAGCCGGAGGTTACAGCGGAGTCAGAGCAGACAGAGCAGGCCGGTAAGCAGTTTTCATGGAATATAAGCCGTCGAACAGCCTCGCTACGTTTCATAAATAGTCCCATAAAAATGTTGAAGCTTTCGATATTCTCCTAAAAATGAATTTTAACGGTACGCTCCGCTTTTGTGCTGGTCTCGCTCGTTTAGGACGGTAAATTCGATCGACTTTTATTCTTCACCCAGCACGATTCCCGAATGTCCCGTTGTCTCGAGTCTCCTCGCATTAACTCATTACCATGTGTCTCCTCTCCGACTGCGCAGACGGCAGAACGACGAGCCGTAAGGCGGGCTACGACAGCGAGGCCGCCGCCCGGGCCGCCCTGGCCGAGAAGAGGCGCAGAGTACGAGAGGAGGCCGAGCGGCAGGCAGAGCAGGAGCGACTGAGGAGGGAGGAGGAGGAGCGGCAGGAGCAGGAGCGGCTCCGTCAGGAGGAGCTGCTGATGGAGGAGGCGGCCCGCGCCGAGCAGGAGCGGCTCCAGAAAGCCATTCAGGTGGGTCTTACTAGGAGCTTCGGAATCGAACATTGGTATGGCAATTGCATTGGATATCATACGGACAATGTCCTCGTGTGGTTTACTGGACGGCACACGAGGAAAGTGATATATCAATGTAGCAATGCATGACTCCTCATCGAACTTCCGTTTGGCTGTTAACTTTATCCTGATTTGACACAACAATCATGTGGTTTTCCACAGTTCGCCGTTTTTTCAGCAGCCACACCATGTCCCGCTGCAACGTTCTAACATTCCCAGGTGTGCTGACCTCTCGTTAGGGGAGGTTAGCGCATTCAGAGGTCAGTCAGAGGTCTCCGACCTCTTATGAATTCTGTTGACCTTTACTGACCTCTGAGAACCCCTAATGACCTCATGTGACTCCTGCTGGCCTCCAGCGACCCTTGGTACCTAATCCCTGCTGACCTCAGGCGGCATCTGGTGACCTGTGCTGACCTCTTTGTTTACCTCTGCTTGTCTCTGCTGATCTCTATTGATACAGGTGGTGACCGTTGACCTCTGGTGACCGTTGTTGACCTCTGTTGACCTCTATTGACCTCTGCGGTGTCGGTGTGCCCGGTCAGGAGGCCGAGGAGCGCCGTGCTGAGGAGGAGCGTCGCCGCGAGGAAGAAGAGCGGCAGCGGCAGCAGAGAGAGCAGGAGGAGGAGGAGGCGCGACGAGAGGCCGAGCGCGCCAGGATCGCCGCCGCCGAGAAACTGCAGAGGGAGGAGCAGGAGAGGAAAGAGCGACGGAGCAGGGTGGCCGCCATCATGAGTCGGACCAGGGCGGCCAACGCCGCTGCCGGCGGTACGGCAGATAAGGTGGGTTTGTGACAACGTTGTTCTATATACCCTGGTGACAACGGGGATGGTGCGAAAAGTGCCAACCATGTGTTTTGATTTACCTCATCATGCTTTTTTCGTGCAACTTGACTGCCTTGATGACTGATGTGTGTTACTGCTTGTGGCCTAGGTGACTGTATTAACTCGCAATGCTGTGTCAATCAGATGGCGCATAACTAGTTCAGATAAGGTATGAATCCACCGATCAGTTGAGATAGCATATAAGGTACCGGATGATGCTCTCTCTTCACGTCATTCTCTGTGTAATCCCCTTCTACCCTTCAACTCCCTGGTCTGTATCGCTGCTCAGACGGCTGATTCATCGGAGGAGGAACAGACGGGCTCGGGTGCGCCACAACCGTCGGAGGACAGGTCGGCCGTACAGCCCCCGGCGTCGGATGGACAGTCTCGAGATGACAGCTCTCTGGAGTCGCACAACTCGGACGGAAACCCGACCCGGGCGGAGGTGAGGGAGCGAGCTAGCTGTCCTGGTGATTTCGAAAAACATTTCTATATCCTTCCGTTCTCAGACAGACTAGCCGTCAGTCGTGTCCATCTGGCGTTTGGACTGTGAAGTTCCAGGTATCAGTTCAGCCACCGGACTTGTAACTCCATCCGTCAGTTCCTCGGCCCAGCTCGAGGCGATTCGAAGAACTTCGTCTCAACCCCGCCGCCCGCGACTAAGTGGGAAGCAGTTAGGAGCGCTGAGCTACCTGAGGGCTAGGAACAACCCTGTGGAAATTTCCTGGTACATACACAACTGGCAGGCCATATTTCTGGGATAGAACCCCAGGCATTCACTGCGATAGACCGTGAGTTGATTTGACCTCTGTAGTTATTGTACGTTGAAGCCTTTGGGTGATCAGTCAGGCGGCAGGCCGGATCTAGGCTTGAAATAGAGTTCACTGATCAGCTGTGCAGCTATCTAGTCTGTATGCTTGAATGCTCATATAGCTTTCCTGTAAGAACATGGAGGCACAGTTACTGAGTCTATAAACTCCACCCCAACTCTCCCTTTAAACTTAAACCCCCAGTTTGATATTCCCGGTGTTCCGCAAGCCGTTCTCACGGATCTATTCCACAGGGAACTCCGACTGCGGCCGTGGATCAGGAGCAGGCTGATCGAGCTCAGGACTCACAACTCGACCAGATCGACCAGCGATCCGACCATTTCGACCAGAGGTCCGACCATTTCGATCAGAGGTCCGACCAGGCCGACCAGAGGTCAGACCAGGCCGACCAGCGGTCAGACCATTTCGACCAGAGGTCCGACCAGGCCGACCGCAGCCTGCAGTCCGAGCAAATGTCCGATCGGAACCCGGGTCTAAAGTCGGACGACGAGTCGGATCACGATGTGGATCCGCAGGTGCCCATGTCGACCGATTCCAGCCCGGCTCACACCAACGGGAACCTGAACACGGCGGGCATCAACGGCCTGGACAACTCGGCCCACCCGGACCCGGCCTCCGACGGCTCCGGCGCACAGCAGAACGGGTCAGTTGGGGGACGCGCAATGCGAGTCCAACAATTTTCCCCGGTTATTGGCGTCGGTTTTATGTTTTTTTTATGCCAATGTGTTTAATAATGTGTTGTGTTATGCCAATGTCTTTATCATATTTATGTTACTACCTATTTTCAGTTCGTTGAATTGTGAGTAACAGCCAATATATTAGAGCGCTTGCTTCTTTAGCCAATTATTTGTGGTTAATTTTCAGTCTTGGTTTAAATTTTGCTTTGTTTTTAATCCGGTTTGTCAGGCCGTCTGCCGCTATATAGTAGGAGTGCTCCAAGGCTACGTAAGCGGATATAATCCATCATGTAAAACCAGAATGAAGTAAGTAAGTCGAGTAGGGGAGAGTGGGGCAAAGCGGCCACCCGGGGCAAAGCGGCCATCCATCGTTTTAGCCCTCCACAGCTGGCGTCAGTTCCAATTTATGATTTCCAATTATACTTCTCTTTGCGGTCGTTCGAATGAGCCAGACCGGGGTTTCAGGCCCATCGCCATTGTTCTGTGAAGCACGGAAAAGCATTTCTTGCCAGGTTACCAATTATGTTTACAATTTTTAAATGTTATTTTATTCCATAACCGTTTGGAATTTTCATAAGCGTTTTTGTCCATGCATTGCGTGGTTATCGTACATGCCTTCTACCAATTTTAATGCTTTTTACCCCACTAATAGCTGAGCTGGAATAATTTTGTCTCGGACGGTATGCGCGGGGCAAAGCGGCCGGGGCAAAGTGGCCAGCCCCCAATTGGCCATAAGTTGTTTCCATCTGGATAAAAACATTATTTATATTCAAATGTGTCGTCATGCATTCATCTTGGCCACTTTTCGGTTACATGAGTTACCAAATTATGCAATTAAATGTTTTTCCAAGAAAATTCTTTCTTTGTTTAGCAATAGGTGGCAAGATAAGAAAGTAAACATCTATCTTCCCTTAAACCTTGTCACCATCAAATACCCTAGTCGTGCATGAGGCAACTATTCTGTTTCTCATATCGGGACTTGAGAAGTCGCCAGTGGCCGCTTTGCCTCAGGGATGGGGCAAAGTGGCCAATATGCTATAGGTTTAAAGTTTTGACAATATCTCCCATATGTGAACGCCTTTGGAAATGAAACGCAGTTGGAATAAAAGACAATTTAATAGGGATCACATTGGTATAGAAAGAATCTTTCCAAGTTTAAAAATCAAGCGTCGGCATCGTTAGAAACGTTAGGGTGGCCGCTTTGCCCCACTCTCCCCTACTTCAACTCTGTCGTATCGAGAATTAAAGGGAAAAAATGATTGGATGATTGGCAAGTGTGTCGATCAATACGTTTTTTTCTCGTTGAAAATTTTGCAATAACTCAAAATGCAAAGAGGACAAGACAATAGCCCGGCTGCTTCATCGAGTTTTATTCATTGATCAACCGAGAATTAAAAGATCGGTCGGGCTGCTGGATAGGAATCCAAAAATTGGGAACATAAAGAAGAGAAAGACGTAAAGTGCTAGGACTGTGCCTAATAGTTAAATTATATCCAATCAATAGTCAATTATCGGTGTCATGTTCTGCCATCCTGTGTTAACCCGGCGACCGAGCTACTGACTCCATTTGGATAGGTGGTATTTACCCGTGCCATTTCATGCGAACACCGTGAACTAATTGGTTAATCTTGTGCCGCGTTTGTGTCGCAGAGTTGGCGAGCCTCTGGTAATTAGGAACAGTGTCTCCGGTGCAAATAACGCCCTTCATCTGAGTCGTTCTGTGCTGCAGCGAGTTAAACTCAGCAGCTGCATCTGATCTGTTGTTCAACCGGCTCGCGAACAAAGCCCCGAGATGGCACAACAGCTTACTGATACGCGTTGGGCGTTTTAAATGTACCAAGAGACAGGAGTTTCGCTGAGTCTACCGGGTCCATTCTCAGAGTTCTAGAGCCCCGTACAAATGCGTGCCAGTCGTTTGTCGAGGGTGGCCACGTCTGGTCAAATAATCTTTGTCATTCTGCCTCGCTGACATTCCCACAAGTGTCCTATCTAACAGAGGTGTGTTGGAGGCTGGAGCTTCGAGCTGTCTAGATTCATGGACGCCTGACCCTCTAATTTTGTATTTCACCTCACCATTCAACGTTTGTACCATCAACTGACACCGATTCCAACCTTCTCTTACCCGTCATCGCTGCTAATCTGAAAATAACTTTGTCACGTCACCAATGCCACCACTGTCCCCATCTCACCAACAGGGGTTTCGCTGCACTGCACGCCCTGGTGATGAAGCCCGCGGCCACCAGTGATGACGAGGATTCCATCAACTCCAACGTGTCCCCACGACCGGGCACGGCTCAGGAGCAGGACCCGTTCTCTCTCGGCCTGACGGGGACCGGCACAGTCAGTCAGGAGCTGCCGCGTCCCGTCCATACCTCCGGTCAGTGACATAGACCACAGAGACTAGGAAGGTCAGGGGAAGGTCTGTTCCGGTCAGGGGAGGGTCTGTTCCGATCAGGGGAGGTTTTGCATTGGTCAAGGGAGGGTCCGTAGGGTCTGTGCTGGCCAAAGGGGGTCGGTCTTTCGGGTCTGTGCTGGTCAGGAGAGCGTCAGTGTCCTGGTCATGGGAGGTCAGGGGGTCGGGGCGTTTTATCCCGGTCAGGGGAGGGTCTATCCGGGTCAGGGCCGAGGTCTGCCCTGATGTCAGGTCAGACGTCAGGAGATGTCAGGGACACCGAGACGAGATATCTGGCGGGGCTGGTTGACACATAAAACTTTGAATGCAAGCTTATCTGCGATCCGTTTGAAAGGAAGGTTCTAGACGATCGGGTGTTAGTTTGTTGTTGACTGCCTTCCAAAAATAGCGCGTCTGTTCAAGGAATTGAAGTGTAGGTAATTAGTTCCTTGTGGCCGCCCCGTTTGGCCTATCTTGAGAAAAGGCAATGGATGTTTCTCTGTGGCAGGCTTGCATCAGTGTCTGGGTCTATTTGGTTGTCATGACAACGCCTCCAGCGACGCTGATAAGTCGTTAATGCTTCGTTAGACGAGGCCTGTGTGACGTCAGTCACTCGGGGAGCAGCAGCCAATCACTGAGCGGGATTCTCTCAATCACGGCACAGGTGGCTATATTCGAGCCGCGTGACGTCAGCAGGTCACGTGGCCTGTCGGCGAGACGCGGCTCAAATGGCTGCTGCCCGCGCTATATGTAGCCGCAGACTCCAGATACCTTACCTGGGAGCCTTCAGTGCTACTTGTTTAACTCTTGTCTGTTTTTGCTTTTGTTACACGTAACTATGAATATTTATTTCTAGAGCAATTGCAATAGATTACAGTAGCCATAAAAAATTAATCAGCGACAGTGTCTATTGATACATTAATATGCGCAGTCAGGCACGCAGGCCACGGGGATGAGTAATCAGTATGCAATGATAAAAATCCATGAAAAAATGGCTAGTTGCGCATATCGACGTTTTGTCTGCTGTATTTGCACTTGTCTATCGAAAGCAGTCACTAATTGGAAGGAAAAATCCAAAGCCCCGCTACGCTCGTTTTTTGTAGCCAGGTCTCGAAAGCTGCATGCATACGATGGCTGAATACCTATGAACTAATCGAGTCGAGGTGAGCTTATTTGAGATGAGCAGTCTAAGCTGAGCGAGCTGAGCTAAGGCAAGCCGAGAAGGTTGAGTTACATGTTAACTCTATTTTATCGACTCAAAGCCCATGCTAATCTGTCCTCTGTAGGCCTGACTCCACGCCTGCAACCAGGTTCCCGAACGCTCATACAGCGAGTCATTGACTACATCAAGAACGAGCCCGCGCAGCCGTGAGTGGGGTATTGGGGTAGTTGGGATCGATTACACCACAGAGCGGCGCCTACACCGCCTGCCGTGATGACGAGAGGGGTCTGGACGGTCGCACCTCTCAGGAACACTGACCTGGCCTGGTCTGATTTCATTTGGTCTGTCTGTCTGTCTGTCTCGTCTGCACCTCTGGTCTGCAGTCTTTGCCTGGCAGAGACGGGACTGCCCTGCACCGGTCCAATAGCCTTGCTTTGCCTGACCTCAATTTGACCTTACCCGGCCTGATTTTACCTGGTCTGGGTCTGGCTGGTCAGGTATGCTTTTGTTTATAGCGAGCTCACGCAGGTCATCCCTGTGCTACGTCCCTGGTCTCCTGACAACGCTGGCTGGTTGGCATGGTGCTACCAAGCACAATCAGCAGGTTTTGGTTTGGACGTGACGCAAGCCAAGCTATATTGGGCCGGGTCATAGACCTCTGGTCGAGTAATATAAAACCTTTTACTCGTTTTTATTTTGGGATACGTCTTGTCAGCCCACGGCTCCAATGTCTGCCCAGCGGGCTGTCGGCTACACGTAACATACATGGATTTGAGTTATCCTTGGTCTTCGAGCTCCGTTGTTATTATCAGCTGCAGACTGCAGTCAACCAGACCAGGCAGCACGGTTTCGGGGTTTGGCTTCTCTTGATGTATCATAAACTTTCCTTCTCTCCACGCAATGGATCGGCTCCTGCTTTTCACTAGAGAGGATCGTTGGGCACACCTCCTCCTCTCTCCTCTCTCTCTCTCTCTCTCTCTCCTCTCTCTCTCACTCTCTCTCTCTCTCTCTCTCTCTCCTCTCTCTCTCCTCTCTCTTCTCTCTCTCTCTCCTCTCTCTCTCCTCTCTCTCCTCCTCTCTCTCTCCTCTCTCCTCTCTCTCTCTCCTCTCTCTCTCTCTCCCTCTCCTCTCTCCCCTCTCTCTCTCTCTCTCTCTCTCCCCATCCCTCTGCATCAATCAATAGCTGTGCCGTCCGGTCGACGGCGAGTCGGACCACGTGGTTG